TGTTTTTTTTTACAGCAATTTGTATCTATATATATATATATATATATATATATATATGCATGTATGTATGTATAAATGTATTAATACACAAACACGGAGTACATATACAGTAAATGTTGATATATTAATAATATAGAATTTAATATATTTAATATATACTTTTTTCATATATATATATACAGTATATATTAAATAATAAGATATATAATTAGATTAAATAAATTATTTTATAATTTTCCATGAAATCACATCTGTCGACTCTATTTGAAATAATCTTGATCTGAGGCGCTAAGCCTGTCAAATATTTGCTCATTTTCATGCTCATCTTCCGCAGTGAGTGAGGCAGAGGGGGCTGTGAAGGTGGAAGAGTGGCAGCAGACGTTTTACGCCTCAGACTCGGGCATTCAGTCAGGAGCCACCACCTTTCGAGATGAGGACGAATCTGAGTTCAGTAAGAAGTACAGCGTCAGTGCCAGCGCTGGCGAGAGCGCCACAGGTAATGTGTTCTCTCCAATGGTCTCCCTTCACCTCTTCGGAACATTTTGATGAATTATAGGACCCGAGGGCCTCCAAAATTTCACATTAGAGTCAGTGGCATTGAACCCTTCCGCTAGGCCTGTGTCGTTTCACTGGACTTGTGCAACATTCGGAAAGCATTTTTTTGTTTATTTTGGGATTTGCTTTCTTAGATATAAGAAGTGCATCGTCTACGTGAGGATATGCATTAAAGCAGTGGTCACCAACCTTTTCAAGCCCAATATCGCTGACCTTAGGCTTTATGAAAAACAAGATCTACCTATTGAAGAATTGATAGAAAAAGACAGCCCAGATTGTACTTTCAATATGAGGCCTTTTATTTAGTCTTTTAATTAGCGATGCACCGATCATGCAAGCAAATTGACCGATTCCGATGGTTGCCGATATTTTTCATTTTCGATTTATTCTTTTTTTTAAGCACAATTTATTTATTGTTTACTTGCTCTATAAATGGCTGAATGAGATGCAGATTCACTCTCTGACAGCAGGTGGCGCTTATGAAACAGCAGCGATACAGCGTTTCCTTGGTTACCGCTGTAAACAAAGCAGTGCTGTGCTTATAAATACTACTTTATATGGTGGTAAGATGAGAAGAAAACAGTCACCGAAACAGTCAGTTCCCTTCAGAGATACATTCATATAACCCCTCACCGCCAATTCAATATTTGTGTTTTCTTCCTATATTTCGAGCATCGTGAACAGTGTGCTTGATAGAAAAAGACAGCCCAGATTGTACTTTCAATATGAGGCCTTTTATTTAGTGTTTTAATTAGCGATGCACCGATCATGCAAGCAAATTGACCGATTCCGATGGTTGCCGATATTTTTTATTTTCGATTTATTATTTTTTTAAGCACAATTTATTTATTGTTTACTTGCTCTATAACATGCAAACTGGCCTTAAACAAAAATACCTGTAGCCATTTGAAATGAGTGGCAACCACTGCATTTTAATCACGATCCAAACAAAGATGTTACACACATGTTGCATGAGCAGTTGTTTTTGATTTGAATTGGATTGTATAATTTCAAGATTTAAAGCAAAAACAGAATGGTCTATTTCATATTTTTGGAATTACGCTACATAAAACATCTGCATGAAACAAAAACAGCAGACGGGCTGAATGAGATGCAGATTCACTCTCTGACAGCAGGTGGCGCTTATGAAACAGCAGCGATACAGCGTTTCCTTGGTTACCGCTGTAAACAAAGCAGTGCTGCGCTTATAAATACTACTTTATATGGAGGTAAGATGAGAGGAAAACAGTCACCGAAACAGTCAGTTCCCTTCAGAGATACATTAATATAACCCCTCACCGCCAATTCAATATTTGTGTTTTCTTCCTATATTTCGAGCATCGTGAACAGTGAGCTCTGCCTCCTATTTACGCCCGTCTTCAGCATCTCTGGCCTCTGTTAACGTCCTGACTCAGGCATGATGTATTTTTCTTTCTTTCTGTCCCAGTAGCTCCCCAAAATAACAGAAACATTGTACTACATTTTTGTACTTATTTTTCTGTTATTTTCGGGAGCTACTGGGACAGTAGCGATTGACGGATCGCGATCGATGGTTTGGTGACCATTGCTTTAAAGGAATAGTTCACCCCCAAATTTTAATTTGCTGTTAATTTAGCATTTAGAAATTCAGGCCATCCAATATGTGGTGACTTTTTTTCTTGAGTTGAACAATAAAGAAATTTTTAACTGAAACCGTGGTCCTTGGTGATTCATGTAATGTGAGTCAGCATTTACAGTTTTTTAAGAATAAAAAAGCAAATCAAGGAACACAAAATTAATACCCATGGCTCCTGACGATACATTGAGGTCTTATGAAGCGAAACGATCGGTCAGTGCAAGAAACTGAATATTATTTTCAAAGTGATTGCCTGTAACCCAGAGCCTCAGGCAAACAGTCTGGAGTGATGTCAGGTTTGCAAACTAATCATTCTTTTGAACCGGTTCTTTTTGGTGAACTAGTTGAACCAGTTCACCTACTGTAATCAAGCAGCGCAGATCTATAAGTTACTCGATCAAAACTTGTGGATGCCTGACAGTCACACCGACTAGAAATGAGCCAAAATACTGGAGTATATGATCTTATGATGCTGGTTTGTGCCGACTCAACAGCACTTAAGTTCCTCCAACAGTCACTGAACTGAAGAAACAGTTCCGTTTGTTCTCTTTGTGTTATACATGTAAAACATCCACGCTTCACGTCATTATTGGGTGCTTTAATAATATAATTATACATTACATCATTGCTTGATTATGTGAACGAACTAGTGAATTGCACCAGTTCATTGAAACAAACTGTCTGAAAGAACCAGTTTGCGGAAAGGAATCGGATTTCCCCACTGCCTGAGGCTCTGGATTACAGGTTATAATGTTGCAAATGTTCAGTTTCCTGCACAGACTGATCGTTTCACTTCATAAGACCTCAATATATCGTCAGGAGCCACGGGTATTCATTTTGTGTTCCTTGAAATGCTTTTTTTATTCTCAAAAACCAATAGCTGCTGAATTACATTATATGAATCACCAAGGACCACGGTTACAGCTAAAAATCTTCTTTACTGTTGGATGTTACTACATGTTGGATGGCCTGAAGGTGAGTAAAGTAACAGCAAATTTTCATTTTTGGGTGAGCTATCCCTGCGCCACGGCTCAGAGAATCTTATTGCTTTATCTCTTCAAGATGCATATTAAATGTACCTGTGGTTTTCTCATTATTCTTTGTTGTCATGGTGCATGTTGTCACTTGTAAATATCTGGGGATTTTAAAATGGATTCCTCACCATGGCAGCGTATGTGCTTGTGTAGTTTGGAAGAAAGCTGCAAATTTATTGTCCGCCCAGAGCCAGTGACATTTAGAAACTCATCCAAACACTTAGTTCAGTAGGTTCACTTTTTATGATTTGAACATTATTGCTATCACAACAGAACCTCCGAAGACCCCTTTCTGAAGCTTGCGATGCTTCCAGCCTGGATTGCACTTTAGTCGGAGAGTCACAGATGCGCTTCCATGATTCCCACCTCTGGTTCTCTGTTGTCAATCTATTCTGTTATTAAATGAGACCTGAACACACCTGTACTGAATCACTCTGCAAAATATGATGTGATATAATGTGGGTTATAAAATGATGGCATCTGAAATCTAATTGGATGAGCCTCATTTGAGCTCCTATAGATGGTAAAATAGCCTATAAGCGCACACCTGTGACTGCACATCGATTAATTCACCAAGTCTACATATCTACAATGTTAAGTACAGTCAGGATAATGAATTATATTAATTGGTGGAAGAAGCAATTAATATAAAAATAATAATCATCATCTTCATCACCACTATTATTATTATTATTATTATTATTATTATGTGAAGCTGAAGTGTGATACAGAAAGTCCCAAAAAGTGTAACACTGGCTCGGAAACATCACTTTCATAATAATAATAATTAGTGGAAGAAGCGATTCATGTAATATTTTTAATTAAAAAAAATAATAACATTATTATTATTATTAATATTATTATTATGTGATGCTGAAGTGTGATACAGAAAGTCCCAAAAAATGTAACACTGCCTTGGAAACATCACTTTCACAATAATAATAATAATAATAATTGGTGGAAGAAGCTATTCATGTCATTTTTTAATAGAAATAATAATAACATTTAATATTATTAGTATTATTATTATTAATAATTGGTGGAAGAAGCTATTCATGTCATTTTTAATAGAAATAATAATAACATTTAATATTATTAGTATTAGTATTATTATTATTAATATTATTATTATTATTATTATTATGTGAAGCTGAAGTGTGATAAAGAAAGTCCCAACAAGTGTAACACTGGCTCGGAAACATCACTTTCATAATAATAATAATTAGTGGAAGAAGCGATTAATTTAATATTTTTAATAATAATAATAATAACAATATTATAACACTTTTTGGGACTTTTTGTCATAAAAATAGCACACTTCACATTTAATATATTTTACAAATATTTTTAATGTTTATTTGTAAATTTAATTATTTATTAAACATTTTGTCTGTTTACAGTTTTCTGCTACCTTAAAATAAAATCAGTAAGTTACTTACAGGTTTTATTTATTTGTTTATTTATTTTAAAGTAAAAACACCTTGTAACAGTCAAGTTATGTCACCATTATTTATATAGCGCTTTATACAGCGCTACAGAAATTGTTTCAAAGCAGCTTCACAGTATTAAATAGGGAAGTAAAAGAATCAGTGATGCAAACTTCATATATGAGACAAATTTGATAAACAGTTTCAGTTTGCTTCAGCTATAAAGTAGCTCTACCGAAGACAGTTGTGTCATTCAGTTCAATGCAACATTTTTTTTTTAATCTGATAGTATCAGTGCCGTCAAATCAATTATTTTACTGAGTAATAAGTGTTAAAATTATTGTAATGCATCACCTTGAGTGGCTTGTTGGTTTAATATGATTCTTTCTTCATCTGTACTCAGATATGGAGGCTCAGTACAGTCTAACTCGAGCCCAGAGAGTACGTGCGGCCATGTTCCCCGAGACAATAGTGGAGGGAGAGATGCAGAGCAATCCAGACCAGCCCACCAATGTGCAGAGATTGGCCGAGCCCTCGCAGCTCCTCAAAACAGCCATCGTTCATCTCATCAACTATCAGGATGACGCTGACCTGGCCACACGGGCTATACCAGAGCTCACCAAACTGCTGGCCGACGAGGACCAGGTACAATGACAGATCCGTACAAATGAAAATATACATACAATTATCACAGTAAACCTTTTTCATTAAAAACAAAGACCAATTTGTGGATAAACCGAACAGGAGCAGTGATAAAACATCACAGTTTTGCAAAAAGCTTTAGCTTTTGTTCTGTTGGTATCCCACATCAGCTGATATCTTAAATGATCTGTAGTAAAATTACAAAAGTTTTGACTTAGTAGCTGTCATTCTCTGAGAATAAGACGGAGAGTGCATGTGATAATATGAGATGCATCTTTCCATTACCCTTTTCCTTCTGCAAGATAGGAAATAATCTCACAGGACGAACTAGAAATGTGGAAGGAGAAAGGGGGAATAAAGTGAAATAAAGGACTGAAATGTGATGTGAAAAACAACTTTAGGATATGATCTATTTTCCAAGTTCAATTACTGGCTGCCGAGAGCATGCAACCATTGAAAGTCTAAAACATTTAGATATTAGAAACCATATAGAAAAATTCTCAATTTTTCTATTCATGCCATGTGAATAATTTTGCATATTTTTTTATTTTGTCTGCATATTAACACTTTACAGTTTCTCATTTCGAGAACACATTTTCCAATTATATATACATTGAGCAATTTTAATTCTGTGATGAGTCACCAATTGTGAAATATGGTTCCTTAAAGGAATAGTTCATCCAAAAATGATAATTTACTGAATATTTACTCTAATATATCCTCGGGCCATCCAAGATGTCAATGAGTTTGTTTCTTCATCAGAACAGATTTGGAGAAATTTAGCATTACATCACTTGCTCTCCAGTGGATCCTCTGCAGTGAATGGGTGCCGTCAGAATGAGAGTCCAAACAGCTGATAAAAAACATCACAATAATCCACACCACTCCAGTCCATCAATTAACATCTTGTGAAGCGAATGTATGTAAGAAACGAATCCATCATTATGACATTTTTTTACTTCAAACGGTTGCTTCCGGCTAAAATTAGAGTCGTCTATTATGATATTGCTTTCTTGACTCTCATTGTGACGGCACCCATTCACTGCAGAGGATCCATTGCTGAGCAAGTGATGTATTGTAAAATTTCTCCAAATCTGTTCCCATAAAGAAACAAACTAATTTACATAATGGGTGGTCTGAAGGTAAGTACATTTTCAGCAAATTTTAAGTTTTAGGTAAACTATTAAATAAACTGCATATGATTAGACAGATAGGATATGCTATACTGCTGTTATGTCATATCATACTGCGATATACCAGAATTGCTGCACATAAAAGTTTTTTTGACATGCAAGATGTCTGAATTTTTTTTCTTTTACCATTGCAGGTGGTGGTGAATAAGGCAGCACTGATTGTGAACCAGCTTACTCGGAAGGAGGCGTCTCGCCGTGTGCTCATGCAGTCTCCTCAGATGGTGTCGGCTGTGGTGAGGGCCATGCAGAACACCGGAGACCTGGAGACGGCGCGCTGCGCTGCCAGTGTCCTGCACAGTCTCTCGCACCAGCGCGAGGGCCTGCTAGCTATCTTCAAATCGGGCGGCGTCCCTGCACTAGTGCGCATGCTCAGGTCAGTGTGTGTCTGAGGAGTTTGTGCATAGCGTTTTACTTCTGTAATGTGTGCACTTGATCGGCATGTGGGTGTAACACAACAGAATGTCTCTCAAAAGCTGTCATGGTTATTAGCGTTAAATACAACTAAAACTATAAAATAAAACATTACTTAAAAAAAAATAAACATTAACTGAAATATAACATATAAAAATCTTAAACTTATTTTATTTCAGCTAGTTGCTAGGGCATTTTTATTTTAGTTTATCTGAAGTACTAAAACCTAAAACTAAAATAAAAATGAATGAAAACTAAATAGACATAAAAAAACAAGCAAACATAAAATACTAAAATAAACTAAAATAATATATAATATAATAATATATAATATAAAATTAAATAAAAAATATTAACAAACATATAATAGCAAATACCAAATGTGTTTTGTGTTTTATTGACTGCATAATAGATAATGTAATTACATAATAATTGATTGTATCAATCAATATTAAATATATAATAAATTTAATTAATATAACGAATATATTAAAGCAATTATATTGTCATTATCTTGCCCGTGGTCCCCTGTCTTGTGTTTGGACTTTTGTGTTACTTCCTGTCTAGAGTGCCATTTGTAGTCAACTTGTAGTCCTATTGTTTCTTTGGTTGTCTTGGTTTACACTTTCCCAGGTGTGTTTTGTTACCTTGTGACCTTGTTATCCTGTTTGCGTCTCTGTGTATAAATAGCCCAGTGTTTCAGTTAGTCTTTGTCAGTTGTTGAATGTCTGTGATGGTTGCTCCCTGCCCTTGTCTGAGTTCCTTGTTTTACCCATGTTGGATTACTTGTTGGTTCCTGAATTTTTATTAAACTCCTGCACGTAGATCCTCACCTCTGTTTGCCTCATCTCGTCTCTACAACGTTACAGAACAACTGACCACATTATGTATCTAGCAGGAGTTTTTTGCGACCCCGTAAGTGTGCTCTGCACCATTTTTCAGAATGGCCCGACCCATTTTATGCTATGTGGAGGAGTTCCTTTTGTATAGCCACCTTATGCCTGGTGATGAGGCTATGGTAAAAGACCATACCTCCACCGTTTATGGAGTGGACTTGATCCAAATATTAGTCTAAACTTACCAGAAGAAGACCCCAGCTGGACCCTGGCACCGTTTATTGAATTTGTCCTGCAGTTTTGTGAATCCCCCTTTGCAGTAGGGGAGGTTGAGAGGGACGCTACCCGGCTCCACCTTAGCTCCTGGCTCCCTTGTATCCACCGTGGCCCGTCAGCCCAACAGCTCTGCTGGGCTCCCTCGTCCCTCCGGCTCCGCCTTGGCCGGTCATCCACCTGCCTACGCTTCGGGACTACACTCCTCCGGCTATGCCTCGTCCCTTCATCCCTCTGGCTACATTGGACTCCTCCCTCAGCTCCACCTTGGTCCTCTGTCACTCCGGCTCCAACGTGGTCTTCCGGATCCTCACTTGCGCCTCTGTCGCCTGAGCCGTCAGCTCCGTCATGGCCCTCCAGATCCTCAGTGTCGCCTTGGCTCTGCGGCTCTCCGTCTCTGCCCTGGGCTCCTCTTCCACCGGCTCCGTCTCCATCAGTCTGGTCCCTGGTGGACACAGCCCTTCTTCCACCATGGCTCCTTCCTCCATCGACTCTACCATGGGCCTCCATCATGGCTGTGGTCTGGACTCTACCCTGGTCATCCGCTCCTCCGTGGGGGTCTTCGATCCCGTCTACTCTGCTGTCGTGGTCTTCTGCTCCACCCCGTCTCCCAGCTCTGCCTCGGTCTCCAGGCCCTCCTCCCACACATGGACCTGTCCCTCCATCCCTCTCCCTGTTCCGCCTCCACTCCACCTCCCTCCTGGATTTAAGTGTGTTTATTTTGCAGAATCTGGAATACGCTCCTAAGGGGGGAGGGGGCTCTGTCATG